AATATAATGATCTCCACTTTTACCCATGTTTTTGCAAATAATGGAATTTAATTTTTTTCTATGCCTAAAGAATAGTCATTATGAACCACATTTTTTTTTTATTCTTGTCAGTTGACAGATTCTTTTCATTTCTTGACTATTGTGAATACTGCTACAACAAAAATGAAAATGCAGATGCCTCTGGATATATAACTAGTAGTGAGATTGTGGATCATATGAATTTATATTTTTAATTTTTGAGGAAACACCATTTTTTCCCTAAATAATACATTGATTTGCTTTCTCACTATCCATGTGTGAACATTCACATTTTTTCCCAATCCTCACCAATATTTATCAAAATCTTCCTGATAGTAGCCATTCTTACTGGAGTGAGGTGAGAGCTCATTTGGTACTGATTTGAGTTTCCGTGACATTAATCTTACAATAAGAAAATAATTTCAAAATTTTAGTGTGGGCTTTGAAAATTTAGTGTGTCTAATTGTCTTAAATTTTGTGGAAGGTAAGTTAAGAACAAATATGATAACTCAAAAATTCAACAATACTCCTCCACATGTTTATAAGGAAAAACATATGCTATATTTCTTATAATTTATTGGGTGATAATAAAGTAGATCATTTAATTTCACTTAATAAGAATTCACCAAATTAAAACTCAGTAATTCTATGAATTATGTAAATACATAAACAGACAATTAACTTTTTCCTTTCTTTTTGTTAGAGTTGAACAGAACAAACTGTACTTAAAAACTTTTTTTTTCTTTTTTTTTCTGAGTTTGATCAGAAGCACAGCTTTTGTTTTAACATGGCAGTTCAGTTTAAAAGTATTTAACCACTCACACTATTTCTGTGACAGCTTTGGTAACTCATTAGCCACTGGTAAAACTATTGCTACAAATGCAATAAGAATTTGCAAAGACATGATAATTTTATGTGATTAGCAATGTCTGACAATTTTAAGTATTAAGAGAATGTTAGCCAGGTGCAGTGGTGCACATTTGTAATGTCTGTCATCAGGAAGCTAATGAAAGAAGATTGATGATTCAAAGCCATCCTCAACAACTTTGAGGCACTAAGCAACTTAGTGAGACCCTGTCTCTAAATAAAATACAAAATAGGGCTGGGGATGTGGCTCCGTGTTTGAGTGTCCCTAAATTCAAACACTGGTACTGCCCCATGCCCTCCAAAAGAGATAATCTTAGCTATAAATGGTATGTCTATTTATCTAAGGCTTTGAGATATATATTATTAAAATAAAATATTATATATATTAAAATTTACATAATTTTACAAATAATAAAGATAAAATAATTGTTATTTTTATTTCTTGTACCAGGATAATAGCCATGATATGGATTACATATATGTAT